CATTTTGTCCAGTACAACAGTGTCATGTCCCTAAGGGACAAGTTCCCTGCACTGAGAATACTCCAGTTGAGGTAGTATGAAAAAATAAATAGCTATTTTTCATGTATAACCAATAAAAGGATTACCTCTAAGGCCCCAAGTCTGTTTTCCATCCCTTCAGGAAACAGAATATGTGGAGAGCAGGACAGTAACCTGCACTATTTATACAAAATTACACGTGGTCTACATTCCACTAGTGGGACTATGGGGCATTAAGGAAAAATAAAATATAAGTTCCAGCTTCTGCAGTTCTAAGAAACATGAACTGAACTTGAGTGCCCTAAAGGACAGAACAGAATCCTAACAAAGCTGGCAACAGCTTTGGTTTAAGATGTCATGTTGGATACAAGTATGTAAAACTTACATTTTTAAAGTTAAACTAACCCTGGAGTATCAGCAATCGTACATGATCAGCCTCATTTCCTTAATGCAACTTAATGGCCTTATGCACATGCAGAGTGATCTTCCACCAGAATGTGACTGAAGTGAGGTTTGAGCTCTGGATGTCTCTTTCTGACCCAATTTATGGCACAGAAAAACTCACCACACTATTACTTGACTCTGGAACTGATACAACCTTCACCAACAGTTCTATGCCCGTTGTCTGTCAAGAAGAATCAGGAAAACAAGGATCAGAAGAGTTTTTAAGAGCCTGTCCGACTGCATACCAACTATGCACTGGATTGAGGCAATCCTTGTGAATCATTACAATCCCATCAAACACAGGCTGCTGGGAACTCCTCATAGCTCTGGTAACATACTCCCACCTACATGTCAAAGCCATGTAGATTTGCTCTGATGGGGGGAAAAGACGGAGAAGAACCAACATCCAGAGATTTGCTTATACACAGCTAAGGGCATTAGCTGAAATCTGCAGGGCTATGTTCACTATCACGTTGCTGCTCTAAAGCGTGTCTTAGAACGTTCTGCACCAACCATGTGATCAGCTAACATATGGGACTGAGGTTATTTGTGCTTCTCCCACCTTTTATCTCATTCTGCTTTGTAGCTTGTTTGTTTGTTCTATTTCTATCCTTAACTTCTGGTTTCCATCTTTATTTCAATGAATAAACATATTTTAGGGTTTTTTTCTCCACACTCATATTTTCCTTTTTTTGCTTTACTTATATTTACTTTTATTTTTATCCTGCTTCTGATTAGTCATCACCATTGATTCTCACACTGAAAGACTGCAAACTGTATCCTCTTCATTTGGGAACAGTTTCTGTAGATTATAATTATCTTGGGGCTATACAGCACATCTTCATGTTTGCATAGTGATAAGCACACTGTCCACATGCACATTTAATAGTCAGAATTAAAAGCTTTCTCCTTCAGCAATGCTTTTTAAGAGAGCACTCCCTAAAGGGGGAAGATCTCTAAGACCACAAAAACTTGTAAAAACCTTGTTTCAG